TGTCAACAAGGTTTTATGAATAAGCAGTCAGCATCATTATTTTGGATCGTCAGGGCCAGTGTTCACGGATTCTTCAAAAGTATTTGATAAATTTGATAATAATAATAATAGACGTCTTTATTTATCCACAATTACATTGTAGTATAGCCAAATGTCAGACTTACATGGCGAAGTTTAGCATGCCGCTACTCTTACACTTAACCATATAGTTTCTAGCAGATGTTTAAAAGAATACACCACAAACAGATTTGGTTCATTACATCGAAAGTAAAATTTAAAAAAAGAGAAAAAGGCATACTTTCCAAACCCAAATGCACCAAAGAATTATTAATCTGAATTAAAGATGGAATAAAAAAGAAATGAATGATTACGTAAATTATATGTTTGGAGGGTTGAGTAATAATGATTCAACTTTTTGTCGAAAGACAAAATTCTTTATATACTTTAGGAAGATCATTATAAATAATAGCAACATTGTAAGAAAAACTGCGTTTAAAAAGTGTAGACGTATGCAGGGGTATTCTAATATTATTTTCTCTGAGAGTTCTACAGTGAACATCATTATTAAATGAAATGTTTTCCTTCAAGTAATAAGGTTTAGACGTGAGCAGCAATTTGTGAATAAAAACTGAATAGTGATACTTGAACGGGATTATTCGCTGATACATGATCAAATTTACGCCAAAAATGAGTCGTATACAATTGTTTTGGATAACTTGAATAACGTTTTTAGTGAAATTGTCTAAACAAGTAGAGTATACGATATTACAATAATTTAGTATAGATATGACCAATGCTTCACATAGTTTTTTACGCAACTTAAAATTTAGTAAATACCTTTTTGCTATAAGAGTGCGCAGCCGTAGGTAGGTTTTCTGAGATGGACTTTTAACATGTTCAATAAACCTTAATTTTGTATCAAAAACAACACCAAGAATTTTTGCAGAATCAGAAAATTGCAAGATTTGGTTATTTATCTGAATGTTCAAGAGCTGTGTTACATTGTATGTTTTTATTTGTGCGCAAAATAATAACATTTTAGATTTTTGTGGATTAATAAGTAGATTGTGATCTAAAGAGTATTTAATTAATTTATTAACATCGTTTTTTAAAATTTGAGTAGTATTATTGACATTATCTGGGTTAAAATAATGAAGCAATTGCGTATCGTCTGCAAATAACTGGACATGAGAATTATCAATACCTTTGCTTAAGTCGAACGTATATATGAGGAACAGAAGCGGCCCCAATACAGAGCCCTGAGGTACGCCTGAGGGAATTATTGTCACTTGAGACATTTCTTGATTGAGAAAAACACACTGAGTTCTTTGATGAAGGTAACTGTCGAAAAATGAAAGAGATACACTGTCAAGACCTATGTAATTTAATTTAGCAAGTAATAATTTATGATTGATGCTGTCGAAGGCTTCCGAATAGTCTATAGAGATTAAGGCTAGTGTCATTTTCTTATCTAAGGCACTTAAAATATTGTCTTGCAGATTAAGTAGGGCAGATTTTGTATTATAATTTTTTCTAAATCCGGATTGAGTGTCGAGAAGTATAAAGAATTTTTCTAGGTAAGCGGTCAATTGGAACTTTATAATTTTTTCAAAAATTTTGGATAAAATTGATAATAAACTGATAGGTCTGAGATCATTATACTCAGTGGGTTTCATTTTTTTAGGAATTGGAATAATTAGAGCTTGATTCCATGTGTTTGGAAAGTAGCCTTTTTCCAAACAGTCGTTAAAGATGTGGACGATGTGATGAAGAATAACTGGCATAACACAGCATAATTGAACCAAATTGAATTTGTTTGGTTTTACTGACAATTTGATATCGCTATTATGGTCCTATTTACATCATCGTCAGCTATTCATATTATACAATGGCTTCGAGTCTTTTCGCCATACACCATCTAGAGGGGTACCACAGGGTTCGAAATTGGCAACATTGCTTTTTCATCTTTGTAAATGATATAAGTAGCAATATTTGTTGTGAAACATTAATATTTGCCTATGACTTACTATAACTGTTATATAAATCATGTTTAAAGACATTTCTATCTAGTTTTCAAGATTAATTCACTTTAACCTCAGCATGGTCGGAAAGATTCCACGCTGCCTCCTTGAGTGAGAGAAAAAAACCCAAATCCGTCGTCTACTTATAATGGGTAATTTTTTTGCTATTATCATTTTGGCAACACTGTTTTTGACGCGTGAATCGTGTCTTGTGTCATTGTCAATCTTGTTTGGTCTATAATTTAACCATGAACCGACTTACGAACGAACAACGCTTGCAAATTATTGAATTTTGCTATAAAAATTCATGCTCGGTTAAGAGAGTGCATCGAGCACTGCTTCCAATTTATGGGCAATTTGGTCGGCCTACTGAGGGAGCTATTCGGAAGCTTGTGACTAAATTTCGAACCCAGTTTACATTATTGGACATTAAACCACCAACACGCAGACGTAGAGTGAGGACTGAAGAAAATATTGCGGCTGTATCCGCCAGTGTTAGTGATGACCGTGAAATGTCGATTCGCCGCGGTTCGCAGCAATTGGGCCTCTGTTACTCCACTACGTGGAAAATTTTGCGACAGGATTTGGGTGTAAAACCTAATAAGATACAGCTGGTGCAAGAATTGAAGCCACACGACCTTCCACAACGTTTCCAATTTGGTGAATGAGCGCTGGCAAAGTTGGAGGAAGATCCACATTTTTATCGAAAAATTGTGTTCAGCGACGAAGCTCATTTCTGGTTGAATGGGTACGTTAACAAGCAAAACTGCAGCATCTGGAGTGAAGACCAGCCAGAAGCATTGCAAGAGCTACCAATGCATCCCGAAAAAATCAGTGTTTGGGCCGGTGGCATCATCGGGCCGTACTTCTTCAAAGACGACAATGGCCGGAACGTAACTGTGAATGGCGAGCGGTACCGTGCGATGATAACAAACTTTTTTTGCCCAAAATGGAAGAGCTGGACTTGGCTGACATGTGGTTTCAACAAGACGGTGCCACATGCCACACCGCACACGAACCAATGGCCCTATTGAGAGGCGAGTTCGGTGAACAGTTTATCTCACGTGTGATTTAACGCCGTTGGACTATTTCTTGTGGGGCCGTGTTAAGGCTAATGTCTACAGGGATAAACCAGCAACGATTGACTCACTGGAAGCCAATATTGAAGCATTTATTCGTGAGATACCGGCCGATATGTTGGTGAGAGTGTGCCAAAATTGGACCTTGCGCATGGGCCATCTAAAGCGGAGCAGCGGCCAACATTTACATGAAATAATCTTTAAACATTAAATTATATCGACCGTTCTATCGACTCAAATAAAGATTTAATCGTTTTTTCAAATTTTTTGTGTTTTTTTTTTAAAATCAACTCCTATACCTCTTAAAAAATCACCCGTTATAAGCATTTACAAGGTATTGTTGATTATTTAGACATGTTATCCCAGCTTCAATTTTTAGTTCAATAGACATGTCCTGGAAACAGTACCTTCTACTTTTGCACCCGTGCAAATACCAATTTAGCATTAAAATCTCTTGTAGGAGTTATGTGCAATTCAATATGCAGTATTTGTGATATCTTTATGTGTTCTCTTCCTCAACTCAAGAGGATTTTATGGCAGCACCTTGAATAGCGTTATACAGCTTATATTAATGTTTTTATCCTCTTAAATTTGAACAAATCAGTATTATTTTTTATTGTCATGCCAGATTTCATTTTTTTTTTATGTAAATGGGATTAGAAATATTCTGTTGAGCAATAAATGCTATTATTATTATTGTATTTCCTATTACTGTCTTCCTGGCTATGCATCCTATTGTCATAAATATGCACTCTGCCTGACTTTCGCTATATTTCAATCCACATCTGTCATGCCTTTCAATATCTACCCATTTTCTCTCAATCTTACACACGGATGTGCCGTTGACGACAATGAGCCCTAGAGGCTGCAGTGCCATCGGGGAAGGAAAGAAAAAATGGGCATGCGATCTGTTTTTCTGCGCCCTGCTTCCTTTTCGGTTCCCGGACAGAGGTCTGAATTGTGGCCCGTAATATAGGAAGTCAAGGTCATTTCTTAATGAATTGAGGGGCACCTAATATTCAATCTTGGGCATCCCCCCCCCCACTCATGAGACGGGAATATGAATCTGGAACCTCCAATGTGCCCTCCTCTTTAACATTTGTTATATAGGCGCATATTTTCGGGACCCTTGTGGGCATCGATACTAATTAAATTATTTTTCTAACTGTTATTTTACCGCACGAACAACGAAGAACTCATAACCTTTTAAAGTGGTATCAGAAATGTGGTATAGCTGTATGACGAGTTTCAGAAGTACCGTCACTCAGTCGTTGATTTGACTAGATCCTCCTAGGTTAGACAGCTCTTTTTGACTACAGCATGTATACCATCAACATAAAATCCTTGCTCACCCTGTTAAACTCTCAGTCCATAGAACTAGTCTCTGTCTTGGAAAATAAATGTTTACCACTAAAATTCTTATCTAGAAGTTATACTACTGGGATATTAGACTGCGATGAAGGAGGTATTTGAATATTTGAATAAATTATTCATCTTCCAAGTAGTAACATTTAAGCTTGGAGGTTCGACTTTTGATTTTAATAATATTTTAATAAAGTTGCAATTACGTAACTCGTGAGTCAAGTTATCAAGTAGACTGACTCAGTATTTCTCACTCATTAATGTTTTACTCCCCACGATAATTGACGAGATAGTAAACAATTTCGAAAATATTTTGAGATATTATGTCACCCCTAAATGATCTAATTGAGACAATTGGTTAAAAACCGCTGTATTTTCTGAATTTTTCATTTTCCAAAGCCAACCCAGTTAAATTACACTTTTTTTGTATAAACCACCACGGAAGCCTAAGGCCTAAACAAACACCTATGGGGTAGGTGGGGCTATAGGGGGATACAGGAGAAAGGGGGAACGCCACACGGACTCTCGCGAGGGATACATACAACATGCACACATTCTGGCCCCGCCTACGAGATCCGCCGGGTGGTACCTCCGCGTCCGACAGTCAGAGACCGTCTACCACCTACGGACAATCACAACATCCATAGCCAAGAGAAAAATTTCTCCTGGGACGGGATTTGAACCCGTACTGCACACGGCGTCTGATCAGGAGACCGAAGAGTCTACTACTGCGGCCACCGCTGCTTACCCCTGTTGGGTATAAAAAGGGTAAAAAGTAATTTCCGAGTAAAATATCTTGAAATCGTATCATATTTATACATTTTACATAAATAGAGCTTGAGTTTTTTTTATCCAGTAGTGCTTTAATCATCTTCTTCATTATATCACCATAACGAATAAATATATTGATCTACGGATTTCGCCAATTTATACGATTTTTTGTGTTCTCTCTTAAACGAAAATATGGAAAAATGACATTCGGAATAAAGTTCAAAAATCGATAACATAATATGCTTATTAAATCAGTACGTTAACTATGCATTTAGCCCCCCTAGCGACCATTTTAAGAAGCTGAAAATAATTTCCAGCAATTTCCTTGACCACCTCTATTATGTAATCTTTCAACAGATGAGTCTAGATTAAGTGGTTGCTATTAATAGGATCTGTTTACAACGACCCACTCATGCGACTGAAGTTCACTTGGTGGATATTCATATTTTAACCGGAGTAATTCTTAGAATCCACGTAATATGCAATCAAATTGTACTAGGGGAATACGAGATACGACGAACATTTGAGCCGCATTCAAATGTGCACCTACGTGTTTTCCAGGTAAGTTAATTGCATACATGAACCTGACATAGATCAACGAAACAGATCTGTGCAATACGACGCTCATTCATCATATTATATACCTACATCCGACGTCAGCATGCCTATACGAGGGCGGTTCAATAAGTACCCCTGTTAGAAATGAAGACAACCTTTTTTCCAAAAAATTTCTTTCTATTTTTCATCATAATCCCCTTTTAGAAAGATACACTTTTCTCAACGATCCTGACATTTTTTTACGCCCCCAAAAATAGTATTTCTCGAACTCCACAAAATACGCCTGTCTCGGCGATGACTTCCTCGTTTGAGCTAAATTTTCCTCCGCGAGAAATTTCTTCACGTCAGGGAACAAGGAAAAGTCGCAGGAGGCCAGATCGGGTGAATACGGGAGTGCAGCAGCAATCATGCAGTTTGGCGGCGACAACTCCGTATGAATGTGCCGGTGCGTTATCGTGGTGAAACAGCACCTTCTTTTTCGTCAAATGTGGCCGTGTCTCCTTCAGTTTTTTGTCGAAACGGTCCAATAACGCACTATAGTATTGTCAAGTGATCGGTCTTCCTTTTTCTAAAAAATCCACGAGGATCACGCGGTTCGCATCCCAAAAAATCGTCGCCATGACCTTTCCGGCCGATGGAACCGTCTTCGCCTTCTTTGGAACAGATTCACCGGAAGAAATCTATTGTTTTGATTTTTTCTTAGTTTCTGGTGTGTAATGATGAATCCAGGTTTCATCGACGGTGATAACTTGACGCAAAAACTCCTTCGGATTTCGTTTAACTTGCTCCAAACACTGCTTCAAGGTTACCGTGAGCAATCGCGACCCATCAGACCGACAATTTTTTCATAGCCAACTTATCATGTAAAATATTGATTGACGTTCCCGTCGACACACCTGCGGCCTCTGCTACTTCGCGCACTTTCGTTTGTCGATCAGCGAGAATCATGTCGTAGACCTTTTAAATGATTTCCTCGGTAATTACGTCTGGCGGGCATCCTGGTTGATCCTCATCAAAAACGGATGTTCGCCCACGTTTATATTCGTTGAACCAATGTCTAACTGTGGTCATAGATGACGTCCATAAACACCATCCAACTTTGCTTCTATCTATACGATACTGCTCTTTTTCCATCTTAGCGAAAATCACGAAACACGTGTTACTCGGATGGCTGCCAAATTCAAACTAACCTACGAATCAGCCTGAAATTTGTTGTGCCGTCGTCTGATAGATGGCAGCACACGATGATAATATTAACTTCCCTCAGGAACGCCCTCTGTCGTCAAACACGGGTACTTATTGAACCACCCTCGTATTACTTATAACTGTTCTATAGTAAATCAATAAAACAATGTAGAACTTGAAAGTGTAGGAATAGCTGTTATAGCTAAACTTCGGCATTAAGGTGGTCACTAGTTTCATTATAGGTAATATGCGTATTATCTATAATTGCATTTCAATAAAAGACGGTTTATTATTATTATTTGTATAAGTCAATGTCAAAGACAGCGAAAAGCACACAGAAAAACCAGCTGACCTGTCGCAACGAACGCGTTGTTTGCAAGATTTTCTTCATTGGTTGAATCAAGAACGGCAACGGTAGAAAGCTAAAACTTCGTCAAGTTTAGCATCAGAGTTGCAAACGAACGTTGCGGAATTCCTGTTTATAAAGAGTTTAACGTCGAGCCAATGACTCAAGTTTTACGTTATAACAACGGTACTGTCATACCGAATCGTCAGAGTTTATAAATCGACCTCGAACGTTAAATGTTTCTTCTCCCCAATGACATTTATGTTTATTTCAAAGACACATTTTCTTGCAAAGGTGTTTCAGACTTAGTCAGGCTGTGTCTCGCTGTTTTCATGGAAGACGAATTAGATCTTTATTTAGCTAAGAATTAGTTTTGTGCAATTTTAAGATATAGCTTATTGTAACTATTATGTAGGAAGAAATTGAGTTTTTTAAATTGATTTTTCATGTTTGACCTATTTCTTAAGAAGGCCTTCGCTAAAGATAAAAGCATTTCTAACAATTTTTTCTACATTTTCCATATTACATAACGTTGGTATACCCTTTATAATTGAGTTTACCAGCTAGGTCGCTCAAAATGTACATAATTGCTTACCAATTGTCAATATTTACCAATTCATGTCAATATGAAAGCACAACAAAAGCTCATTACGTAGATTAATGTACAAACGTAATATTTATTGGCTCCACATTGGGTAAACTGAATTCTATTTATGTTCTAATGCCGGTATGCCTCATTTCGCAGATTGCCAATTGCAGTAAAACATGACATTACTGATTATTATTATTATTCAATTACATATTCTCGACCCTCTCTGATCGGACAGTACCAGTCACCGGAACCCAACAAGGGTTATGAGGTATAGCTGGCTCTTATGTTAATGCTCTCCTCAGGATTATTATTATTATTATTATTATTATGAAGAAAAGAAGAGTAAAATAGACAAATACGAAATAAGACTGTGGCGGGCTCATTAGCCTGCTCTACTTCGATCGTGGGAACGAGTAGTTCCAGTAAATCCGGCATTTCTCGTCCTTCACATCGGGCTCAATATCCCATAGAGCATAGGGCAGCACAGGTATATATTTCATCTATACCGTAGAAGTGCCTCAAATGGTAGTATAGCACTCGCAGAGCTGTGTTGTGCTGATAAACGTAAGCAGTGCCAGCATATACTTTACACGCTGACAAGATATACATAAGCGTCTCTACTAGGGTATATCAAGTTATTAAATACACCATCTTGGCAAGCCAAAATGAATCCCTCAGTCTCAGATTTCAACTCATTAGACCTTACAAATGAGAATGTCAACTGCTTTGACCAGCAATGTGTCTGTAGAACATTACATGCATGTCTCTATGAAGAGTTAACAAGTAATTTGCTTCAGCAGTTCTTATGTTGCTCTTCAGATTCTATAATGAACAGCTGGCATTCCCGCTTATAGTCAAGTAAGAGACTGAGTTCCTCTGCTGCTCTAAAAGGAAAAGCTCCTTTACCGGCATTCTCTTGCTCACGCACAAAGCGGATGAGGGGATCGGTACAACATCACAGGCAGTGTCCAGTACTACCATTATTATTATTATTACAAAATATGAATGAGCATAGTACAATACCACAAACTCATGCATAAAATACACAAAATAAACACAAAACGTTCATAGCTATAAATTCTGTTCACCGTTTCAGTTGTCATATTATACTTGTACGCTGTTGACTGCATTAACCGCACTTACTCGTAAACTGTTCGAAGTGTTGAATACGCGATTGGGGAGAAACCACGAACGGGCTGTCGTTCTAAACAGCCCCTTTTGCAGTTTAAAGCTGTAACCACGGAGATTCCTGCGCGACGGTTGATGTAGGTGCTTCAGGTTGATGACAATCAAGCCATGAAGTATACTGAATATAGACTGCCATTCAAAAGTATTTGAACACATATTTTCATTCACAATCATAATAAATAAAAAAAAACTATTCAGTACGTATTAACTAATCTTTATTTATTGAAAACCATCACCATAGAAATCAACCATCACAATCTTCACTATTATTGGGATCTCATCATTAGTAATTTCTTTAGAATATTGCTATCCTTTTGTACAGGAATTCTTTCTCAGGATTTGTTTTTCGATTATTTCTTTAAATTTGTGTTGTACGTAAACCCATAACACAGTTTTATTTCAGTTATCTTGTCTCATTTGATAGACTAAAACTGTTTTTCAGTACCTTATAGTTCAAGATTGTTTCGTTTATTTTTTATTTATTTTTTTTTCCCAAAATTTCGAAACTTCAGAAGGTACCACTGTCATCTGTACACTACCTTATTAAGAAATTGTCAAGGCTCAAGGCAAAACATCGAATAGCCGTCGTTTTGGGACACCCATCGTTAACAACTTCCACTGAAGACTTAAGCATAATAGTCAAAAGTAAACGCAATAGACGCATAACTGTATTGGTTTCAAGGGAAGAGTATTTGTCCGCCGTTGGCCTAACGAGAAGGCATTAGAATAATGCACCGTCGCAGTCATTTATCTAATTATTTGGGGCTGTTTTGATGTTTCCGCTCTGGGGGGTATTGTGAGGGTACAGGGAGTACAGAATAAAGAAGGTTACAAAGCCGTACTATAAAATCATGTTGTGCCTTCTGGGACTTCTTGTTGGTCCGGGGTTTGTCTTTCAGCATGATAATGATCCCAATAGAATGTTGCTATGGGATGAACTGGACAGACAAGAGAGAATATTACAAGAGGATGGCAAAAAATATAATTATTTGCGAGGCTGTAATTAAAAGTAAAGGAGGACATGTTGATGAGTCAAAAATATGATCATTTTGATTA